GTTATGTCTAAACCGTGAATACAACTCATCTTTAAAATTGCTCGAGCCGGGAGCTGCTGAACCCTAAACCCTAAACCCTAAACCCTAAACCCTAAACCCTAAACCCTAAACCCTAAACCCTAAACCCTAACCTATAACCCCTATAACCCCGAAACCCTCAGGTTTCACCTCATCCGGGGCATCCTTTGCACCACCGCATGCATGAAAGGGAGCCTGGGAGGGAGGTATTAAAGATTTCGAGCTTTAGGATTTCGGGTGGTGCTTTTTTCGGTGTTTTTTAGGACATTAGGGGTTGTAGGGTTTGAAGAAACATAGGGATTGTAGGGTTTAGGACTTTCGGTTTTTAGGGTTTTGCATGGTTTTAGGGTTCAGGTTCTTGTGGTGTTTAGAGTTTTTGGATTTAAGGCTGTGTTTCCTGAGCCGGTGGTAGGGGTGATGTTTGGGGTGTAGGTGTGATTTTTGTTGTAGTTTCCTTGGTTATGCCCTTAAACCCTAAACCCTAAAACCCCAAAACCCTAAACCCTAAACCCCAAGCCCTAAACCCTAAACCCTAGACCCGAAGCCCTAAGCTGTAACCGTTCTTGGGGCCCAGGAATGCTTACCAGCTCCTCGTCTTCACCACATTGACCAACTACTCCAAAGTGGACACCTGGAGCAAGAAGGACCGGTCCAGCTTGAAGTCTATTCTTTACAGCCACCTGCCTCTATGGACTGGTTAAGGGGGGTTTAGGGTTTAGGTTTGAGGGTTGAAGGGTTTGAGGGTTTCAGGTTTCGGGAGTTCGGGACTAGGGCCTAGGACCTTTTTTTAGGCGATGTTGCTGTAATGGGCTGTTAGGGCTTGTGAGTTTAGGGTTCCATGAATAGGATTTCGATATGTAGGGTTTTGGAGTTCAGATGCAGGGGCTTTGGATTGAGGATCTTAAGGTTTAAGAGTTGCATGTTTGAGGATTCCGAGGCTTGGCCCTAAATCTAAACCGAAAATCCTAAGCCCAAGGCCTTAAACCCTAAAGCTTGAACCTCTACGTCCGAAAAGGTCTAGCATTCGGGGATTTCGAGTTGGAGACGAGCTTAGTGCAATGTAGTTTGATGAAGCTCGCAGCGTGGAGTTCCGATTTTGTTTCGGGCGTTGTTCTTTGTAGACTCACGGTCTAGGGGTGAAGGCCAGCTGCGTGTTGCGGATGGTTGGGGTTCCTAGGTAGGCCCTGCACACAACCTCAAGCACCCCAAACCTGCATTCCGCAACCTTACACCTCTACCCCAAACCCTAAAGGCTATGCCCTACACCTTTAATCCACCCAATCAAGCAACTTCACCCCGTGCCTGGCCCAAAAGTTTCAACTTAAAGCCCTAGGCTAACTTCGCACAGGCAATCAACCCACGCTTCAATCTTTAAGGCCGTCCCCCTCCCAGCAACAAAAGCAAAATGAAGACGACGCAGAACGAACATGTGAGTGTGTCGTAGCAGCGGTTAACATCATGGTACCCAGACACCACCACCACTAACAACGACGACGACGACAACAACAACAGCATTAATGTAATATTAGAGAGCAAATCCAACAATACTAGTGAGCATAATCTTTAGCGCGAAAGCTCAAAGCGACGAAGCTCAGGCAATCACAATGCTTTGGGTGGACTTCCGAGCGATGAGGATCTCCAGCGCTGCTTAGACGAGGCGCTCGGGACAGATCGGCTGGATCTCATGTGCCTCGAAGAGACTGGGCTTGCCAGTAGTACCCGTTTTGAAAGATGTTCCTTCTTCTCCTTTGTCTTCCACTCCTTATGATGATTTCGATTGTTTGATTCTTTTATGTAGGGCCTTTCTAAACTTTTCGCAGTTCGTGGTATATGTTCAGCGAGAAACCCAGAAGGCTTGCTTCGGAGGGGGTCCAAGAACGGCCCAGGACATCAAAGCTTGGTGGGACTTGCGCCGCTACATACAGATAGATTTCATGGACGAAAGTGCCATGATGGACTACTGCGGTGTTCTTACCATCATACTTCTGATTCTTGGTGCTGAATTTTGGGGTTGTGGGCTTAGGAGCTAAACCCTAAACCCTAAACCCCTGGGTTCAGGGTGTAGTGCTTGGTAACCCTAAACCCTAAACCCTAAACCCTAAACCCTAAACCCTAAACCCTAAACCCTAAGCCCTAAACCCTAAGCCCTAAACCCTAAACCCTAAACCCTAAGCCCTAAACCCAATAGCTGCATTGTTTAAGTCGGGTCGTCTGGACGCAGTGTCAGAGGTTTGGGTTCCTGATCTCCTTATGGGCACTACTGTAATACTAATGATCCTAATTCCTAACATCCATAAGAGTATTCGTAATAATAAGATACAATAAGAATATAGTAATAATAATAAGATATAATAAGAATATAGTAATAATTCTAATGATATTCGTAGTGAATATATTGACTTGTGCTATGGAACCACGTCAGTCGACTCTTCCCGTCCTTGGTTCACGGACTTCGAAAGGCGGCTACCGCCACACAAGCTAAACTTCAAAGGTCCTAAACCGAATCCCCACAAAGCCCTGTAAAACCTGTCAGCGTTAGGGTTTTTCGGGTTAGGGTTTAGGGTTTAGGCTGTAAGACATCGAGCCTTTTGATTCTGTAGGTGTGCTCGCCTCTGTGACTCTCTTAGACGATAAGGTTTAGTGTTTAGAGTTCCTGGAACACTGCAGCTTGTTTTGTCATCCCGAAACGAGCGTTGAATCCGGCCTTCCAGTTGCCAATCCCGAAGCATCCCAACACCTTCAAGCCCCCGAAACCCCATTTAGCTCCCTTATAGGAAACCCTTTAAGAAACCCTGAGTGAACCCTTACCCTGGACTCTGAGCCTAGAGCGCTGAAAAGACAGGATTTGCTTTGGACTGGCCGGGGTGATGGACTGGATTGCTCATGCAGATCCCTGTTCCCCAGGACTGCTTTTGATCCTGGTGCCGTGGTTCCAGGGTTCAGGGGTCTAGGGAGTCGGGGTTTAGGGTTTAGGGTTTAGGGGTTTAGGGGTTTCGGGTTTAGAGCTTTAGGGTTTAGGGCTTACGGCTTTGGGGCGTGGGGTTCCGAGCAGTACCCATTTTCCTTCTTGTCACACTGTTGCCGCGGGCATGAAAACAATAGAAACCTCCTTCAACCCTAAACTTCATTGAATTATAGAGGGTTTACTTCTTCTGTTTGTTTTAGGGTTTAGTTTAGGTAGTAGGGTTTCGGGTTTAGGGTTCAGAGATATTTTTGGCGAGGATTCCGTGCGAATCCTGCTTGGGAAGCTGAGGTGTTGGCTGCCTGTCTCAGCATCATCATGCTGGACGTGATTCAGGCATCACGGTTTAGGGTTTAGGGTTTAGAGGTCAGTCTGGCCTGGGTAACAGTGATGGTATCATGCTGGGTCGGAAGACTTAGTATTTCAGAGTTCCGTTAGGGGGGCTTCGGAATCCTCATCAATGCTATTGCCTAGGTTTCCTGAAATAAAAATTAGCGCATAGTAACCACCGAAACTGTATTCTATTTATTTCGACTGCTATATTAGCTGCAGGTGAACTAGCAATAGTACTCCCAGGTAGGCCATGCACGATCAATTACATTACGCTCTACACAACAACTGCCCCACAACCCCTGATGATTAAGGCCCTAGATTACCTGACTACTAGTTGCAGATACTGTTGCTGTTTTTTTATCATAGTACAGCGTATCTCACGCCCCCGCCCAACCCCTGTTCGAGTCATAAAAGGCTTTTGCCCTATTTGGATCCAGGATCTCAGCAGTGAAACGACAGAAGACTCCTGAGAACCCAATACCGCTTAACTAAGGAATATGCCTCAAATTGTAGGGGCCTTAATATTCTGATTGAAGGTATATTCCTTAATTAAGGAATATGCCTTAAGTTATAGGGGCCTTCATATTATGATGGAAGGTATATTCCTCAATTAAGGGGTATTGGGCTCTCTGGGACTCTCTTTATCGCGCCTCAGAGCCCTCAACCGTCATAGCCCTATGCCTCGAAACCCTAGGCCCAGAGCCTAATCACCTAAGCTCCAAGACGCTAAACCTTAAAACTGCTGCACCCTAACGCCCCTGAGTCCCAAAATTCCGAAACCCCAAACCAGTATCACACCCAGAGAGAAAGAGCCCGTCTGGAACTCTAAACCTTGAACCCTGCAGCTGCGAAAGTCGTCACAGTACCCGGAAACGACCCTAACCCCTAAACCCGAAACCTCCCTACACCTCGACGCGGGGAGCACCCACCTCGGATACGGCTAACCTCTGAAAGTGGTTTGGGCCCAGGGCCCCAGAGAGCCGGACCCCTCCAGCCCGGTCCCAAGAAACCTGGCTCCTTGCTCTGCCTTGCAAGCCCCAAACCCTCAAGCCCGACTCCAAGCCCAAACCCTAAACCCCTAAGCCCTGAGGCTAACCCCTAAACCCTACACTCTAACCCCTGAATCCGAAGCCTTAAGCCCTAAACCCCAGAGGTCTGTATCGACATCAATCAGATCCTCGAGCGCGACAGCCTCCTGGCTGTTTCGGGCTGAGGGATTCGAGTCTGACTAGAGCTTAAGGGTGAAAGCCTCCAGGTTAAGTGATTAGGACGGTTAGGGTTTAGGGATTAGGTATTGGGGTTTAGAGTTTAGGGATTAGGTATTAGAGTTTAGGGATTAGGGTGTAGGGATTAGAGTTGGGGTTTTGAGGTTTGAAGTTTCGGTTTAAAGCCTTTGTGGTTGCTGGATGTGGATAGGGTTGTATGAGGGTTTACACGGGGTTAAACGTACTTTGTACGGGTGTGGTAGAGACGACTCCCACTACGACTTTTTACGAGTACTAGTGTGGTTACGAGGAGGAGTAGTCGTCGTCGTCGTCGTAGTCGTAGTGGTAGTGGTAGTGGTAGTGGTAGTGGTAGGGGTAGGGGTAGGGGTAGGGGCAGGGGTAGGGGTAGTAGTAGTAGTAGTAGTAGTAGTAGTACTGGTAGTAGTAGTAGTAGTAGTAGTAGTAGGAGGACGATGACGACGACGACGACTTCTACTACTCCGGCTCCCCCCCCGACTCCTGCCACTGCCACTGCGCTGACTCCGGCCGCGACGAAATCCTAAAAACCCTAAATCCTAAAACCCTAAAATCCCGAAACCCTAAAACCCCAAAGCCCTAGACCCTAAATCCTAAATTCGTGAAGACTCCTCAACTCCTTTTCCGAGGCCTCGTGCTGGTGGATGCGGCCGCCGATGCCATCCTGTCGAAACGGCCCGATGCTGTGGAAGTCGCAACGCTGCTGCGTGCCGTCGAACGGAAGGTGCCTCTGTTCTTCCTCACCCCCCCTGATCCTCGTTCTACGGTTGATGGTATACATGCTGCATTACCCATAATAAGGAATATACCATAATTCCCATAGTTTAGGGTCCTTAAGGTCATGCAGGTTTGTTTATTCATCAGCAGTAGTGTTTATGATGCGCCGGTGAGGGGTCTGTTGTAGGTAAAGACAGATGACTCAGATGACAATTATGCTGAGGTTGGCTCTTGAACCCTAGACCTGCGAAGGGCCATGATAAGAGGCATATGAACAGATAGATATGAACACATGCATGCTTGCATGCTTGCATGTATGAATGAATGAATGAATGAATGAATGAATGAATGAATGAATGCATGTATGTATGTGCGCGTGTAAGTATCTGTGTCGGCATGTCTGTATGTATGTATGAATGAATGAATGTATGTATGTATGTATGTATGTACGCATGTAAGTATCTGTGTCTGCATGTCGGTCGCTCACCTATCCATACTTTTACATATTTCTGAGATAAGTGTGTGCAGAGATATATATATATACACACACACGCACTGTACGCATACACGCATGCTATACATACATGTATATATATATACACACATGCTTTACATACATGCAATGACACACATACATACATACATGTGTACACTAGGATATGCTATATGTATATGCTATAGATTTGTGTACATGATATATATATATATACACATGTATACATATACACACACATATATATATATGTATGTGTACATACATATATATATATACACAGAGACATACATACTCATATAACAGCAAGTCGGGGAATATATATATGTATATATATATACACACATGTATGTGTGTGTATACATACATACATACATACATACATACATACATACATACATACATACATACATACATACACACATATGGAGGCCTGCAAACACTCGGCCTAAACCCTAAACCCCTAAACCCAAAATCCTAAACCCCTAGACCCTAAACCCTAAGCACCTAAAC